AAATAGATATTTGGATTTAGAAATAAAGTTCAGTTGGTAAAACAGTACAACAGATTGGTGGCATTTTACATTGCATGCATACAAACCAAGTCGCTTCAGTCGTGTCAACTCTGCGACCCTGTGAACTGTAGCCCACCAGCTTCCTCTGTCCATGGGATTCTCCATGTAGGAATACTGGAGTGGGTTTTGGTGCCCTTTCCTCCAGGAGATCTTTCTGACTCAGGGATCAAAACTGCATCTCAGGTCTCCTGCAGTGGCAGGCAGGTTCTTTATCAGTAGTGCCACCTGGGAAGCCCTTGATTATATGCAAATATTTATGCAATAAAATGTACATATATGAATCATAAGGAGAGTGCAAAGAAAATAATAAACTGAAAAAGCACAGAATTTTTGGAAACAAAATTTATACTAATTAAACAAAAGTTACACTAATATACTAAAAACATACCCACAAATTAAGGAAGAAATATTACAAAATACAAAATAGGAATCCAAACTAGTATTGAGTTGGCCAAAGAATTCATTTGGTTTTAAGTAAAAATAAAAGATATATTTTTCATTTTCATCAAGAACTGTATCGAATAATATATTCACTACCTGAACAAACATTTTGGCCAACTCAATAAATAGTGGACCAAGATCACCTTCATGAAACAACAGATGAGATATTTTACAGCAGCAGTTTAACCTCATTGTATCAAGTTGCTTAGTTTCTGTTTCATATTGCTGCCCACAAGCAAAATAAAAGAATAAATTGAAATTATCTTGTTCATTTTATTAGTACATGGTAGAAAATTTAAAGGTGGCAACTGAGTTAGTGTGTTAGTTGCTCAGTCGTGTCTGACTCTTTGTGACCCTATGGGCTGTAGCTGGACAGGCTCCTCTGTCCATGGGATTCTCCAGGCAAGAGTACTGGAGTGGGTTGCCATGCCCTTCTCCAGCAGATCTTCCTAACCCACAAATCAAACCTGGGTCTCTTGCATTGCAAGCAGATTCTTTATTGTCTGAGCCACCAGGGAAGTCCCCATACAATGCAAATATTAAAGGTGGGGAACTCACTTAATGCAATCATGACATTAATTGAACCTCATTCCTGTTTGGAGAAGGAAATGGCAGCTCACTCCAGGGATCCTGCCAGGAGAATCCCGTGGACAGAGGAGCCTGATGGGCTGCTGTCTGTAGGCTCACACAGAGTCGGACATGACTGAAGCGACTTAACAGCAGCAGCAGCATTCCTATTTAGCAACACTGATTTTGACTGAAACTAATAATCTCGAAGCTTAACAAAGGCCTTGCAATTAGCATTTTTGACAAAGAATCATATGAGTTTATAAGAATGCATTTCCTTACATACCAAAATTGTTATCAGATTTATTTCTTGTCAGGTTTGTATATTTGCTCCTAACGTTTGTATGCAATTATACTTTCCACATTTCTTTGAAAATTAATTATCATTAATGAACAAAACTGCAACAATTCCTATATATATATATATATATATATATATATATATACACAGTTACACATATATTTTCACACATTATAGCTGATTATTATGGAGTAGACTAGACTGTGAAATGTATTATTGATACCTATTTGACTAGTGTATACAGATTTTAATACTTGTTGAAAAATAGTATTGTGACTCATTTCTTCCTCTCAATATATTTCCATAGTCAACTCTTTTCCTTTAATTGGAGAATTGCTTTACAATATTGTGAATAGTCGACTCTTAACTATATATGTCCATGCAAAAGAAGTAAGTAGGGAAATCATAGATACCCACAAATCGAGAATAGTAAACATAACTGAGTTCACTTCTGCTCTACTCCTAAGGATATAGCTCCTAATATGAGCTAAATATCTATTTTGTCATTCATATCTCCTTTTAATAGTTCTAGTGTTGATTATTGAAACTGGATTTATTGTTACATGAGAAGTATAGGTCCATTTGCAAAAAGACTCAGTTAAAGATCCCAACTTACACCAAATATTATAGTACTGACCATAATTATGTTAGGTTTTTTCCAAAACAAATTTAAAATGATTCCAGTACATTATAGCTTAATTTTTCTACAAGGAAAATGGGCTCATACTATTCTGTAGGAGACAAGACTATTGAAGTTTTTACATCAACACAAGAACATGGCTACTTATTTATAAAAAAAAAATTATTGTCACCTGTTGACTATTCCCATTTCTAAACTCCATAGAAAATGTTTGCTTCCTCACTAGTCAGTCCTCAATTTTACATCCCATGTTCTTTTTCGAACATGAAGTTTATCCCTCCAAGTAGGTTTCCCTGTATAAAATGGATAAAATGCAGTCACAAATATGTATGTCTAGAAATAAAGTAAGTGAAGGAGATTCTTTTCTGGGGAGCAATGGGAGATAGGTGAATGGCAAGTGTTGTGATCATGCTCAAGAACTATTCTCCTGCTGTAGTCCCATTGCTCTGGTCATGAGGGTGATTCTGGCTTGATATTTACCACTACAGATTTGGATTCCTATTTACTTTGAAAAATAGCTACATATTCATAATAATCATGGAAAATTACACTATGTTGCAATCTGGGAATTGGAAAAATAAACATTTTTCCATTTAAATCCAATCTTTATTTCTGCCTTCTAATAGGTAGATAGAATCAAACCTTCTGTCATGTGAAGTTAATAATCAATTAATGTACATCCAAAAATTATCTCCATATGTTCTCTGCCTACATATTAAACAAAAACCCTGTTTCTATTCTTGCTTTTGCATGTACTTTAATACCTTAGTTTCTGAAGCAAAACAGTGAGCTGAATGCAATCTGGTCCAGGTGTTCAGGATATTAGTAAAAAAAAAAAAGTCATGATTCTACACTATATGTACTTTCACAGTCCTCAGCCACTAAATCTCTTGATATTTGTACCTTTGAACTAAATATATTCTAAAATGATCCCAATGGATCATTTTATGTATCCCAATGGAATATTTTAAAGCACTCGTGACACAGGTGCTGACATTGGATTTAAGCCAACACCTATTGGAGAAGGAAAAGAAGTGAAAGCTTTCCATTCTTACTGTTTATAGTGACACCGAAATTAGAGAATAAATTTATCTGTATGTATTTATATCTATGTGCTGGCATACGAGCCTTATATATGGGGGAGTGAGAATGAACACAACTTAGCTTTAATGAATATTATATACTTTAATATTTATTGAAGTGTTTCTTTCTTTCCTTGTAAGGATGTGTAGGACAGAAGTTAAATGCACTAATGATGTTTTAGAAGCTTTTATTGGCACTCATTCACATTCAAATTATATAACATACAGGCAACTTCGGATATATTTCTTTTTTAATTTTTTTTTAACATCAAAAACATTTTGTATTGGGGTATATCTGATTAACAATGTTGTGGTAGTTTTAGGTGGACAGTGAAGGAACTCAATTATACAAATATTCCTATATTCATTCTCCCCTCATTTCTTAATATGCATTTTCTATATATGTTTAGACAATATTTGGATAAAACAATGTTGAAACACAAAGTCTTATATTTTAATTGACAGAATATGATAATTAATTTAAATAATGATTATTCAGGAATTTTGTGATTAAATAAAAGTGCATCATATGTATTTACATGATTTAATTAACAATTTAATTGTGTTTATATATAGAGAGAGAAATAGAAAAATTTTAACACAGAGTTTGTTACACTTTATCTTTTTTTATTGAAGTGGAATACACAAACCATAAAATAACCATTTAAACCTCTGAAATGTAATATTAAGTGCCTTTTAGTACTTTTAAATTGTTGTGCAACCGTCAACAATATCTGATTTCAGGACATTTCAATTGCATAAAAAGAAAACTCTATAACCATTAATCAGTCACTACCTATTGATCTATTCCTCTGATCCCTTCCATCATCTAGTATGTTTTTGGATCCAGTGGATTATCTATTCCAGTAATTTATTTGATGCAATTGAAATCATATTGCAGTAGCCTTTAGTGTCTGCTTTTTTTAAAATTAGCGTAGTGTTTTCAAAGTTCATCTGTGAAAGGGCATACATCTGTACTTCATTCTTTCATGAATGAATAATAATCCTCACTATGGGTATGCTTTACTTTGTTTATCCATTAAACATATAATGAACATTTGAATTCTTTCCAATTTTTCACTAATAATGACACTATGAACATTTGTGTATAAATTTTGTTGCTACTCTTGTATTAAGTTATTCTGCTTATATAGTTAGGAGTTGAACTTCTGTCATATGATAATCGTGTTTCAAACTTTGTGTAATTGTCTAAGTTTCTCACAGCTCAATGTGACTTTTACATACCCTCCAGTATATATTAGAAGTCTAATGTTTCCAGAAAATTGCCAACCTCTGCTAAATTAAAAAAATACAGCCATTTTATTGTATACAGTGGTATCTTGTGGTTTTGATTTGAATTCAGTGATGCTCAGCATCTTTTCGTATGTTTGTTGGACGTTGCACATCTTTATAGAAACGTCTATTGGAGTCCGTTTTCCATTTAAAGAATAGAAGACACATTAGAAAGCAAAGATGCAAATATCTAGAGTAAGTTGTACTCTATTAGTAATTGCATGAAATGTACATGGGTTAGACACTCTCATTAAAAAGAAAACATTGTCAGATATCTATTCTAACCACCACTATACAACATTGTTCAGAATTTCTAGCCAGGGCGGCGAGATACAAAAATGAACTATATATTCCATTTGTCTCACCCTGGCTTCCTTGATTCAATCTGCATAATTGTGCTATTGTTCATTTTTTTTTCTTTTGGATGAAGGACTTTCTTGACAAACATGATAAAGTATTAGGTTCACCCCCTTTTTTGAAATTTCACTAATTGCCTGTGATTCCTTATATTAATAAAAGACAGTTAGTATTACTTAGTTCTTCTGTCATCTGCAGTCCTTGAGAATGTAATGAACACAGATGTAGGAAAATTTCAAAGGTGAGCATCCTCTCCTAGTTAGTTGCCTTTGAAGTCCAGTTTAAGAACTTTATACAAGCCCTGTCTGAGCTCCTTGTTCTTGAGTGCATAGACCATGGGATTGAGGGCAGGAGGAATAACATTATGGAGTACATTGAGTAGAACTGGGATGAGGGGAATTGTCATTGCTGCACTGTGGGTGATAGAAATGACAATAATGACTGTGTAGAAGAAAAGAATTAGGATGAGGTGGGAAGTGCAAGTACTTAAGGCCTTGGATGCAGCTTCTGCTGAGTTCAGCTTCAATACAGATTGAAGTATCAAGGCGTATGATAAAATAATCAAACTCAAATCACTTCCCATGAGTGTCCAGGCCAGAAGTAGCTGGTAGATACTCTTGACTGTCTTGTCATCATCACAAGATAGGCTAGTGACTCCAAGATTCGAGCAAAGACAGTGCTCAATTTGGTTCTTTGAGCAGTACTGTCTCTGAGCTGCAAACACAGGAATTGGGATAGTAGTCAGGCTATTTCTGAGTGCCATGAACACAGTTGCTTTGACCACAAAGGAGCCAGTAATTATCAATGGATAGCGTAGTGGTCGACAAATGGCTATATATCTATCTATAGCCATGCAAACAAAGATGCCTGATTCCATGCCCACAAAACAGTGTATGGCATACATCTGTACAAAGCACTGAGGGAAACTGATGGCTTTTGCATTGAACCACAAGATCGCCAAAATCTTGGGCATGATGGTGGTAGCCAGACCCATGTCTACCATGGCCAGGATGCCCAGGAAATAATACATAGGCTGGTGCAGTGTTGCCTCCCTATTGATGATGATCAAGATAAGGATGTTGGCGCTGAGAGCTAAGAGGTAGAGCAGAGCCAGGGGCAGGGAGAGCCAGTGCTGCCAGCTGTGAATGCCTGGGAATCCCAACAGAATGAACTCAGAGACCTGGAACTTTGAGCTGTTGGAGTATCTGAGATCCTGGAACTTCACTAAGTGAAAAAGTAGAGAGTTACTTTTCTTAATAATTTCTCTGACAGTATTTGAAAAGGAGTTATCCAGGTTCATAAATATCAAAGATATCATAAAATCAAAGAACATCAAAGGAGAATTCATTATCTTTATTATTCTCATTGTAGCACTAACATTTCTTGGACATTTGTAATGAAACAGGAACTGTGGTAACACATTCTTTATTGTCAACTTGGCTAATGATCAGAAAAATGATATAAAGGCAAGTCATATTTTTCCACCTTCTCATAGCAGAGGAATAGAACGTTAAAGGAAATCAGGACCTTGTCATGATCTTCAGTCTTGCAAGTCATGGAAGTTGGACAAGATGAAAGTCCTCTGAAATCAGTCTGTTTCTTGACTGACTTTGCTAATGGGTTCTCTTCTTTAGAGACCAAATATATAGCCTCAGAGTAGTGGACTTTATGCATGTAGTCATTTGAGGTAAAATATTAGTCTATATAATAAATTTTTAAAAAATCTTCTTTTCAAGGATTTGAGAATTTATAAAGTACTCAGAAATGTCATTACTTTGAATTAAAATATATGAGTTCGTGTAGCATATTTGTTTTATAGCAAGGAAAACGATGTCTAAAATGTTAACAACTTGTGTAAAACCAAGCAACTATGAAGGAAAGAAAAATGACTTGGAAATCTCAGTATGTTTAAACCCAGTTGTGTCTTCTTTTGAGTAACTTTTCCCTATTCCAACATCTATTTGCCTCTTACAGTACTGCAGACATTCACATTATAACTATTAAAGCAGACATAAAAACAAATAAAAGAAACTAACCAAACCAGTGAGTTTGAGGTAAATATTTTTTCAGAAGTTCTGCTAAAATCAAGTAACTCTATATCTAATACCCTTCCTACATATGGTATTTAACTAGTGTTTTATTTTAAAATTGAAACAACATTGTTACTATGTGTTTATACCATTAATTATTATTTACTTTCTTTTAAGAATTTCATTAAAGATATAATATAAACACAGGATATTTTTAAAATTTTGTTGGAAGTTATAGTTTAAACAGAGGAGCAGTGTTGATGTAAACTTTGTGGATATATTTAGCTTAACTCAGATAATGGCATTCTGTTCTATTCAAAACATAACAGACTCTGGAAATTAATGAAGATGATGGAACTATAAATTTTTAATTCTTAATGAAATATAGCAAACAGTATTTTACAAAATATTCTAAATATCAAATTAAAAATATTTGAGTTTGAAATGAAGGGATAAATTTAATACATCTTTCTGAAACTTTCAAGATCCCATAGTAATCTAGAGAGATACTCTATAGGCAAATGTTACAGTGACTTCAATCTGAAATTTTAACACCCAAATCTGAACAGGAAAATGGTCTTAGGCATGATATATGGGTTCTTAACAGTGAGATTGCTTCATCAATTTAGAGCAATGAAATAGCTTCCGCTTTACTAAAATGAGCAATTAGAAAGCCTGTTTTTATTGTCTAAAGAAGGAAAAAGAGATATGTACTAAAGCCTAGATCATTAAGTTCGTATACATATCTCCTGAAGAAACCAAGGCATGTTGCATTTGCCATTTATATTACTGGTTTATTCTGAGAGACTGGCACTGAACAGGCACTCAGTATATATTAGTTATGTTAATAAATATTGAAGGACGGTTATACAGTTTACATGTCCATGATTTTTTGTATTATTCATCAGGAGGTTAGAGCCATTGACAGATGAGTATGTTAAATATGTAAAAGAACAATGGGGGGCACAGAAATAATCATGTCAAACAATAAAGGGTTAGAAGACATAATGGATATTTTATCAAAGCCAAATGAAGTCAAAAATAAAACCATGAATATTAGGAAAAAACATGGAAAAGACAACTCACACATATCTCTGAACACAATAATTGCTATGGAGTATGCTTGTTGGTTAAAATAGGCTTTCTGAGTTTAAATTTTAAAAAGTTATGTAGTATTTATTTTAAAAATCACTTAAAATACAAAGTTTGAAAACAAATATATAGGATGAAAAAATATTCTTACTTAAGTAAAACTATTCAGTGATATCAACATTGGCTACTTTAGAGAAAATAATTCAGTTAAAATGACAATTACACAATGATGAGAGGAATGCTTCAAAAAAACAATATAATATGTGTGCCTTGCCTGAATCTAAATACATAACTTTAACCTGAAAGAAATATATGTAGAAAATTAAAAAGTAAAAATTATGGTAAGAAATTTTAAAATGTTACTATTTCTTAAAATGAAAGGGTAATCCTAAATTGGCAATGATATAGATTTGACAGCACTAACAGCAATTTTATACCAAAAGGTTTATGTATAAACCTACACGCAAAAAAATATGAGATTACAGAGCATTTTAAGCATAAAAGTAAGCCATGTTCTAATTATAAGTGAGAAGTAAAAAAGAATGAATATATATTTACAAGACAGAGACAGACTCAAAGATCTTGAAATCAAGCTTTGCAGGTACTTAAAAAGGGGAATGTGGGGGGAAGGGATAAATAGGGAGATTGGGATTAAAATACACACACTATTATATATAAGGGCTTCCCTGGTGGCTCAGCTGGTAAAGAATCTGCCTGCAATGCAAGAGACCCGGGTTCAATTCCTGGGTCAGGAAGATCCCCTGAAGAAAGGATAGGTTACCCATTCCAGTATTCTTGGGCTTTCCTGGTGACTCAGCTGGTAAAGAATCCTCCTGCAATGTGGGAGAGCTGGGTTCGATCCCTGGTTTGGGAAGATCCCCTGGAAGAGGGCATGGTAACCCACTCCAGTATTCCTGCCTGGAGATTCCGCACAGAAGTAGGAGCCTGGTGGGCTACAGTCCATAGCGTCGCAAAGAGTCGGCCATGACTGAACGACTAAGGACAGTACAGCACTATATATAAAACAGACAACTAACAAGCACCTACTTATAGCACAGAGAATTCTACTCAATAATCGCTAATAGCCTATATGGGGAAAAAAATCCTGCAAAAGAATGGATATATATCTAGTATTGTCCCATGTGGGGCTAATGGTAAAGAACCCACTTGCCAATGCAGGAGACTCAGGAAGGAGATGTAGTTTTGATACCTGGGTTGGGAAGATCCCCTGGAGGAGGAAATGGCAAACTACCCCAGTATTCTTGCCTGGAAAATTCCATGGACAGAGGAGCCTGGTAGGCCTCAATCCATGGGTTCACAAAGTGTCAGAGGCCACTGTGCGCTAACACTGTATATATGTGTATAACTGATTCAGTCTGCTGTACACCTGAAGCTAACAGAACATTGTAAATCAACTATACTCCAATAAAAGTTTGAATAAACAATCTGATCTGAAAAAAAAAATAACATAATAAAGGTCACAAATCAAAACTTTTAATCGATAACTTAAAAGAGACAGAATATTATAAATGCATATATATGAAAAGATTTAGCAACAATATGAAATAATGGATCAAATGTAAATAATAATGTAAATCAAAAAAGGTAATGAATAGTAAAATGATGAGAGACAAACCTTGAGAGATATAGTTCAACTGATATCTAATACATCTATAACCTAAATGAGTATATTACAAACAAAAATCTTCATGCTTTTTAAAATAATTACTTAATACAGGAATTAAAATAACTAACTTCAGTATGGGCTTCCTTGGTGGCTCCGTGATAAAGAATCGCCTGCCAATACAGGAGATGCGGGTTTCATCCCTGGATCGGGAAGATTCCCCTGAAAAGGATATGCAAACCACTCCAGAATTCTTGCCTGGGAAATCCTATAGACAGGAGCCTGGTGGGCTACAGTCCATGGGGTCACAAAAGAGTCAGACACCACTTGATGACTAAACAACAGCAACAAACTTCAGTATAAAGAGAGAAAACAGAATAAAAATAAAATGATAAACTACTGGAATTTTTAAAAATTTAATAGGAAATCTCTAAGAATGAAAGATTTTACTTAAAGAGAGTCATAAAATACTAAGAAATTATTCAATTGAAAACAAAGATAAAAAATTGGGACATGGCATGTAAAAAATTATTTTAAAATGCTGTACAATGAAATGAATCATTTTATGACTCAAGATTGGACATTTAAGGTTTGTAAAATATTTCAAAGTTGTAATATTTTAAAAAATTATTTTATAACTAACAAAAATATTTTATTAGTTATAATTCACTACATTAAAAAATTAAGGGAAATGTATGTAGGGCGTCAAAGGTATATGGGATATTTTTATGCCTTCCACTCATTTTGGGGGGCGCAGTTAAAATAGACATAGAAGTGAAAGTGTTAGTTTATCAGTCATGTCCTACTCTTGTGTCCAACCCTTTGCAACCCCTGGGACTGTAGCTTTTCTGTCCATGGGTTTTCCAGGCAAGACAACTGGAGTGAGTAGACATTCCCTTCTCCAGGGAATCTTCCAGACCGAGGGATTAACCCTGGGTCTCCTGCATTGCAGGTGGAATCTTTACCATCTGAGCCATCAGAGAAGCTCCAAAATAGGCATAAAACAAGATTTATTATCTTAACTATTTTTAAGGGTACATTTCAGTGACATTAGATATATTTCCCTTCTGTAACCATTACCATCATTCATCTCCTGACTCTTTTCATCTTGTAAAACTGAAATTCTGTACCTATCAAAAATAACTCTACATTCTCTCCTCCTCAAATCCCCTAGAAACTACCATTACACTTTTTATCTTTATGATTTTGACCCTTCGAAATATCTGAGTGGAATCACAGAGCATTTGTCTTTTTCTTACTGGCATTAGGTCCTCAAGTTTTATCCTTTTTGTAGCACATTACAGAA